AAACAAAACATGAAAAAAATTAAAATATACCTTGTATTCAAGCCACAGGCAACCTATAAATAAACAAGAATGTGTAAGATAAAAGTTTTCCTCCAACTGTCAAAAGAAGGTTATTGCTTTATCAAAATACTTGAGACTGAATCGCCTGTCTTCATATCATGAAACTATACGAAATAAACTTGTTAAAATATTAAAAAAAACACAACAACAAAAACAAACAAACAAAACCCAAAAACTCAAGAAACCAACCCAAACAAACAAAAAACAAACCAAACCACCCCAAACCATTCAAATGTTTTAAAAAAAAAAAAAAAGCCTGGGAGGATAATTTATCTTGTAATATTCTGTGTTAAAGACATAAAGACAAAAAGAACTCCTTCAGAGACAAATGAAGGCATTTAAATCATGATCCATATGGTTACCTAATCCATTTCAGATGTTCAGATATTTATAAGCATTAAAGACTATTTTGTATTTCTTGATGAGGAAAGCATCTGCTATGTGTTCTCACTATACTATTCATTATTAAAAAAGCTGTCTTTTAAATCAGGCAGATAGTGGCAGAAAGAAGTGCACTGCACTGTAATCAAGTGGCACTCCCCAAAGAACAGGTAATGGAAAGTAAAAAAACCTGACTGGATTGTAGCTGCTTTCCTATAAAAACTTGGTGATCTCGCTGCACTGAATCTTTAAACAAAACCAATGTATTGTTATGAAGGGCAGTCAGGGAGGTGCTAACTTAAAGAGGAAGAGAACAAACAGCAGGAAGAGGAAGAAAATGAACAGGACAAATGGGAGAAAGAAAGTAAGGAGGGTAAGAAGGAACCAAAAGCAAAAGTGGAGGAAAAACAGAAGACATAGGAGAAACAGAAGGAATAGGCAGAATACGAAGCAGAGCAGGAGACATACAGGGAAGAAGATGAAAACAGGATGTGGAGGAGAAGAAAGAGTAGAATGACGAAAAACAGGAAGAAAGAGGTTAAGAAAGAGATGCGGAAGTGTTTAGTGACATACTAATCACTGGAGTCACAGTATTTCTTCCCAAAGTGGGAGTTGCTTTTACTTTGAGTAAAAGTGCTGTTTTCCTTAATGAGTTGTTACCAGACACACAGTCAAACTCTAAGTACTTTCTTAGCTTCCCATTTATGTGAAGGCAGCAAAAAGACCCATTGCAGAAGTCAGCAATACACTGCAGTTTCTTTGGAAAGCAAGTTGAAGAAAACAAAATTCATTAGTTATTTAAGTACTTTGCTCCGTATCTACCATCTTCCTGAATTCCATACAACTGCAGCCACTGTATTTGACAAACAAAATTAAAGAATCTACACTAGCTTGGGTAACAGTGAAGATTAACTTGTCTTAGACTCCTCTAGCATTTACCTCTAAATCAGAAACAGTGTTTTTCTCTACAGCTCCCTTGACTACTATGATGAAGACTTTCAGGGTCTTCTGTATGTAAGTGTACATACTATGTAGGGACACCATATGCCAGAAGTATCAAAGTTTAGCTTTGAAGAGGCGGATTTACCGCCATTGCACACCTTGGTGGGGAGGCTTAAGAATCAGTATAATCACCTTAGCTCAGGTATCTCAACACAGTACTCCACTATGCAGCACAGACAAGTTAACATTTCTGCCTCCAATCTTTCCCCAGAAAGCATTTTTAGTATCTTTCAAGTTTAAAAATGCAATGGAGGTGGTTCATAAGTGAAGTATTTGAAAATAAATACGAAAAAGCAAAGAAATATGAGACAACTTTGAAGGCAGTACTAGTAAATAACTCTTCACCCAGCACCAAGGCAGCTTACTTTCACAGCCGGTAGCATAATACAGCAAGTGTTACAGCAACAACTATACAAGTCAACATTAATTTCACTTGTTAGTGAAGAAAAAGGTGTCTACTGAATACACGAAAAATCATCACTGATAAACTAAAAAGAAAGCTTTTTCAAACTTTTCTAAAAATAAGGTGTTGTTATAAATAAAGTATGAAGTGTTAAATAATTTTAGTCTATTTTTCATTTATTGAATTTGTTTGTCCTGAGTCATAATCATAATCTACAATATAGCAGGCTCTATTTGAGTTCATTACATGAGTGATATCAAATAGAAACAAAAGGCCATCACCTCCAGGAAACGCTGAGGATCACACTCATGGACAAGCTTTTCACAATCCTTCAAAAAATTCTCAATGGTCTTCTTGTGAGTTTCTTTCATTTTCTTCCAAATCTGAAATTCTTTCTCTTTTTTACCTCTTTGATTTTCAACATCCTCTAGTAATTGCTGTTTTTTCATTTCTAGAGTTTTGAAAATTTCTCCAAATTTCAGCTCAATTATCTCCACATCGTTTTTCAGCATCATCTGGAAGCGCAAGAACATAGGAACAGATGCAAACGCAGTAGCAGTGTCGATACATATTGACTTCTCTAAGTAAACTCAGAACAGATCTATGCCACAAGGACCTGATGCTCCATGTTGTGATTAAGCTATCATGAGAAGAGAAACAAAGACACACACACATGCATTTGTAACTCACATCCGTATCGTTCGGTCGTTTTGAGATCTCATTCATCAGCTTCTCATTTATTATTCTCATTTGTTTCAGAGTGCTGAAGAAGGTCAACTGCAAGACAGTTGAAACACTTTATTACAACTTTATCCATTCCATAAATACATTTCGGTGTTTTTCTAGAATCAGATCACGAAGAACATAGATCTACTGGAGAGGGCTCAGTGTAGGCCCACAAAGATGCTTAGGGGTCTGGATCACGTCTCTTACGTGGACAGACTGCATGAGCTGGGCCTGTTTAGTTTGGAGAAGACAGGACTGAGAGGGAATCTCATTAATGCATATAAACATCTCAAACCCAGGTGCCAAGAGGATAATGCCAGACTCCTTTCACTGGTGGCCAGTGACAGAACAAGGATCAACGGCCATAAACTGGAATATGAGAGGTTCCACCTCCATATGAGGAAGAACTTCTTTACACTGAGGTGGTAGAGTACTGGAACAGGTTGCCCAGGGAGGTTATGAAGTCTCCACTCTCTGTAAACATTCAAACCCCACCTAGGTGTGTTCATGCATCACCTGCTCTAGATGACCCTGCACTGGCAGGGGGGTTGGGCCCCTTCCAACCCTAACTATTCTGTTATTTTGTACAACATATTAAACAAAGATTGCAATTCAAAACATCACTTAAAACATTTAATGCTTTCCTGGATCAGTACACAAAGTTACTTTTGCTTTCTCAAAGTAATGTTCTTAGGTTTACCTAAAATGGGTATTGCTGGAACAGCTGCTTTATAGTTAAAACATTGTTTTACTCAATCTTTTTTTAACCTCTCCCTTCACACACACCTATCACAATGTAAGTTTTAGTGCTGTTATTCCAGTCTGACAACAAATTGTGTGATAGTAACTCTTTACGCCTCACATCAATAAAACAGAAAGCTGTTTTATTTAAAACCAAGATATCTGGTTTTAAACTAATATTATCACAGATTTTTTGCTACAGTATCACTAAGTTTTATGTAGAATGTCTAGTGTAAAGGCTGTTTTCCCCTGGTTTCCTGAGTGACATGCAACTGGTAATGGGAAAGGCGGGAGGAAAACCAGTGTAAAAGCAACTTTTGTCTTAAAGAATAGTCAGTGCTGTACTTAGTGCTTTTCACCACTGCCCTGCAGTTGTTTCAATTACTCTACAGCAGAACTGCTGTATGACATGCCAACCTGCACCCAATTTGCACAGGGCATGAAGAGCTCATCCTACTCTAATATTCTGGCAAAAATCACTACTACTGCAACCAAGCATTAGGCCAGGCAGTTGCTTTCTTCATGCAAACTAGAACGCATTTTGGTTTTACATTTATCTAACTATTACTCACTCAAACTATCTGTTCCTAAATATGTAATTATCTATGACCCAAATTACTATGGTAGCTCAGAGAACCTATAAACAAAACATCTGTGGGTGGCTTTTGGTGGTGTTAGTAAGACTGGCATCCTCCTGAACTTGGAAAAACTGGATCCAGACGTGCAACGAACTCTTAGCATCAGTGTTCTGCCAGCAAAGACCGCAAGACTCTATATGAAAAAAAACAAACACTACAAACTAAAGCAACAACAAAAAACTCCAATCTACCCCAGAACAAACAAGCAAAAACCCCCAACTCTCCAGGTGTTTTGGTAAACTGTGTTCAGATCTGTTCATATTGTAATACTGCCTGGTCCCCTGTGTGTGGTGGATGCAGTGTGACGGCAGCAGGAGAAGGCAGGCACACCCCGGCAGTCCACGGAAAAACTCCTGACTCTGGCTCAAAGCAGCACAATCCCTGTGCCTCTCTCCTGACCACCGCACTGCAGTGTTCCTTGCGTTTCTGACTAAAAGCAACCCGTGCCCGGTGGGATCCCCCATGGACAGCCCGATCTCCCAGCCGGGTCCCTGGCGCGGAGTGGACGCCCCGCGCTTACTTTTTCTTCCTGGTACACCGTGTCTATAAGGTTGACGGAGTGGAAGATGCCCTGGTGCTCCTCGGAGACGCACTGCCCGCACCCTGCCTGACGACACATGCGGCAGTAGAGCTGCACCGGCCGGCTCGGGTGTTTGTGGCAGCTTCCCCCGAACGCCAGCGGAGACAGCAAGTCTGACCCCGGCCTCGGCCCCAGCGCCGCCTCCCCGGCCTTGGCGGCGCCCGCCGCGCCCGACCGGTAGAGCTTGACCACCTCGGCCAGGGTGGTGTTGACGGGCAGGGCGGCGACGCCGCCGCGGGGCAGCAGGCACAGCTTCCTGCACAGCGGGCACGGCACCCGAGCGCAGGGCGGGCCCGGCCCCAGCGCCCCCCGGCCCGGGCGGGCCTGCTCCGGGCCCCGCTGCAGCTGCCGCAGGCGGGCGGCCTCGGCCGAGGCCAGGCACTCGAGCACGCAGCCCCGGCAGAAGTTGTGCGAGCACAGCGGCAGCGTCACCGGCTCCTCCAGCAGCGACAGGCACACGGCGCACGTCAGGCTCGCCTCCATCGGCGGCGGCGAGGAGCCGCGCGGCCGCCGCTCCTGCTGCTGTCCTGGGCCCGAATCGTCCCGCTTCCCCGCCGCTTCCAGCTCGGCGGCACCAAGGGGCCGCGGCTTCGACCGCAACGGCGGCCGAGCTGCCGGGAAGCCCCAAGCACGGCGCTTGCAGCGCCCCTTCCAGCCGGCAACTCCCCGGGGAGCGACACCCGCCCACAAGGGGCGGGGCGAGGGGAGGAATGTTGGCGATAGGCGGAGGCCCGAGATTGACATCACGGCTGTCCAATTAAAAAAAAGGGAACGAGGGGGGGGTGGGGCGGAGGGTTGTGGGGCCCGCCCCGTGCCTGGCGCGCGGGCGGTTGCGTTGCGGGGCGCGCGCAGGGTCCTAGCGCCGCTGCCGCCATCTTATGAGGGGATGGGGGCGCAGCTCCCGCCCTGCGAACCGGCCGGGGAGCTCGGGAATCCCGGGGAGCTCGGGGGCCCGGGGAGCCCGGGGCGCTGGACGTCCAGGGAAGTGTCCCCGGTCCCGTCTGCGGGCGTGCGGGGCTAAAGCGAAGTGACTCCACAGCGCCGACGTGCGGCTGTAGCGAGTTGCCTCTGGCTGCAGCTGCGAAATCAGAACAGAACGTCTATTTAGGGTTGTGTTGGTGCTGAGAAGTTGGGACGGTGCTCAGCTCGTTCTCCTTTTTTTTTTTTTTTGTTTTGTTTTTTTTTTTTTTTTTTTTTTTTTTTTTTTTTTTTTTTTTTT